CTTTTTTTTTTTTTTTTTTTATTTATTTATTGTAGTGACGGGGTCTCACCAAGTTACCCAGGCTGGTTTCAAACCCCTAAGCTTAGGCAGTCCTCTCGCCTCGGCCTCCCAAAGTGCTGGGATTATAGGCTTGAGCCACTGCACCTGGCCTTGTTCTGCAAATTTTAAAGGCAACTAAGGAAGAGCTATGGGGGAAATTAAATTAGTTTAAGTTTCAGTGTCCTTTGACAAGGGGAACTGAATTATAAACCTATGAAGTGGAAGAGGTATTTGATATCATTTACAAAATAAGGAGGCCTAATTATGAAATCAGTCGTTTCAATTGCCTTTTTTTTTTGAGTTGGAGTCTCACTCTCCCAGGCTGGAGTGCAGTGGCATGTTCATGGCCACCTTAGCCTCCACCTGCCGGACTCAGGTGATCCTTCTGCCTCAGACTTCCAAGTAGCTGGAACTACAGGCGTGGGCCACCACTCCTGGCTAATTGTTTAATTTATTGTAGAGATGAGGTCTTGCCATTTTGCCCAGCCTGGTCTCAGACCTGTGGACTCAGGCAGTCTTCTCACCTCCACCTCCCAAAGTGCTGGGATTACAGGCGTGAGCCACTGTGCCTGCCCCATAGAGGCATTTTAAAACTAACCCATTTTTTGCCTTGCAAATTTGTAGGAATGTGGTTAATCTCTTGACAAGGTGCCGCATTGCAGAAATTTGCACTCTAATTATATGTGTGAGTTTTTCTCAGTGCTTGTTAACTGGACCACAAAAAGCCCTGTTAAACTAATATGTTAAACCAGACGGGGTGAAGACAAGTTGTTGGTCCAGCTCCTTTAGAAAATTATATCATAGGACTGGGTGAAGTGGCTCGTGCACTTTGGGAGGCCAAAGTAGGAGAATTGCTTGAGGCAAGGAGTTTGAGTCCCCATCTCTACAAAAAAAAAAAAGTAAATAACATCACATACTGCAGTGATTATGTATGAGGCAGTGGGTAGCAGCTGTTTCTTATGAATGTTTAAGTTTTGCATTATGCTAATATCTTTGAAATTGAAGGCTTTTAAATTTGATTATGATAGTACTCGTTCTATCTAATGTCAAAGTCATTCTTTTAAAAGAGAAATGTGTCATTTCTCTACTTAACTCCTGATGCATTGCATTTACCACGAGTCTAGAGTTGGCTTTATGGCTTCTTGTTATGCTAGAGAACATGTAAAATCCAAGCTCCTAATGCCTTTTATGTCCTGGTCTTCTTGCCTCTGTCTCCCAGCTCATCTCTTGCTGCTCCACCGTCCCCCCTACTCCCTATTTCCTCCCTTTGGTTCCAGGAAGAAACACTGCCTTTCTTCATCAGCTGCCAAGCTTGTCTCTGCCATGGGCTATTTTGTACCTTCCCTGCTCTTCATTAGGGTGCTTCCTTTTTCACCCTGTCGCCCAGGCTGGAGTGCAGTGGCATGCTCACAGTCGCTGCATCCTCGACCTACTGGCTTAGGGTGATCCTTCAGCTTCAACCTTCCAAGTAGCTGGAACTACAGGCATGCACCACCATGCCCAGCTAATTTTTTGATTTATTGTAGAGATGAGGTCTTGCCAAGTTGCCCACGCTGGTCTCAAACCTGTGGACTCAGGAAGTCCTCTTACCTATGCCCCCCAAAGTGCTGGGATTATAGGCGTGAACCACTGCGCCCGGCTTCTTTTTTTTTTTTTGAGTTAGAGTTTCACTTTGTTGCCCAGGCTGGAGTGTAGTGGCACACTCGTGGCCACCCCAGTGTCGACCTGCTGGGCTCAGATGATCCTTCCGCCTCAGCCTTCCAAGTAGCTGGAACTACAGGCATGCGCTAGCATGCACGGATAATTTTTTTATTTATTGTAGAGACGAGGTCTCACCAAGTTGCCCGGGCTGGTCTCGAATCCGTGGGCTCAGGCAATGCACTCACCTGAGGAGTGCTGGGATTACAGGCTGAGCCACCGAGCCCAGCCCATAAGGCTGCTTCCTTTTCATCCTTCTCAGCTCAGCTCAGAGGTGACTTCCCCAGCCATCCCAGCAAATCCAGGTCACTACCTCTGCTGGTTATTCTATGTCTCTTTACAACCTTGTTCATTTAGCCCTTTTATTACATTGTAAGCTCCCTGAAGGTAAGATCCAGGCCTGTCTTGTTTATATTATGGAAGAAGGCTTCCCACCCTCATTACATACTTTAAAACAATTCAGGCTGTCAGTAGTGTTTTATATGTGTAACTTGATTTTGATTTCCATGTGTTAAGTTACATTATTTTACATTTCAGGTCACAGATGTGGACTTTTCAGCCTTGAAGGCAGTGGTGAGGCTTGCTGAACCATACCTCTGTGAACCTCAAGTAAGCACTTTTACCTTGGAATGTATGAAAGAGCTCTTGGATCTGAAGGAACATCAGTTGCCCCTGCAGGAGTTGTGGGTAGTATTTGATGATTCTGGAGTATTTGACCAGACAGCACTTGCAATTGAACATGTCAGGTAGGAAGAGAAGTTGATAAAAATAATCTTGTGGCCAGAAAGTTTGGATGAAATGAAGTAATTCTGGTCTGTGTTAGATTTAGATTTAAAACTCCAACTGTTAACTTGGTCACTGAAATATTTTAAAAATATTTAAGGATAGGAGTTGTTTTTTTTTTTGAATCAGAATCTCACTGGATTCTCAGGCTGGAGTACAGTGGGATGCTCACGGCCACCACAGCCTCCACCTGCTGGGCTCAGGTGATCTTTCTGCCTCAGCCTTCTAAGTGGCTGGTACCACAGGCATGTGCCATCATTCGTAGCTAATTTATTTTATATTTTGTAGAGAAGAGGTCTCACCATGTTGCTCAGGCTGGTCTCGAACCCCTGAGCTCAGGCAATCTTCTTGCCTCCTGCCTCCCAAAGTGCTGGGATTACAGGCGTGAGACATCGTGCCCAGTGGAGAATATTTTTTAAAATTAAAAACGTTTTAAATAAATGTTTTATTTATTTATTTTTATTTTACTTTTTTTTTTTTGAATCAGAGTCTCACTCTGTTACTCAGGCTGGAGTGCAGTAGCATGATCACAGCCACTGTAGCCTCAACTTGCTAGGCTCAGATGATCCTTCAGCCTCAGCCTTCCAAGTAGCTAGAACTACAGGTGTGTGCCACCATGCCCAGCTAATTTTTAAAATTATTATAGAGATGAGTTCTCGCAATGTTGCTCAGGCTGGTCTCAAACCCATGGGCTCAGGCAATCCTTTCATTTCCACCTAAGTGCTGGGATTACAGGTGTTAGCCACAGTGCAAGGCTAAAAAAATGTTTTAAATCATTTTGTGATAATTTCAAACTTATAGGAAAGTTGAAAGCAGTAGTATAGTACAAAGAATTCCAGTTTTTCCTTTGCCCAGATTCCCCAAATGTTCACAAAAGATAGAGGATTCTTAATTTTGTTTGTGTATGTTTATAAACTACCCTAAATGTTGTGGCTACTAAGGTTTATGGTTGATATATTTGGCAATGAGGCCAGAAAGAAAGAGGAAAGGAAAGAAAATGAATATTATATACCATAATGTATACACTGATGAGACTAATACACATTTTTTTTCAAGGATGTGACTTGTCAAAAAAAAGGTGTTTTTTTTTGGGAGGCTAAGGTGAGAGGATTGCCTAAGCTCAGGTTTGAGACCAGCCTGGGCAACTTGGTTAGACCTCATCGCTACAATAAAAAAAACCAGGTGTGGTAGCATGTGCCAGTAGTTCCATCTACTTGGAAGACTGAGATGGAAGGATAACCTGAGCCCGGAGGTCGATGCTGCGGTGGCCTTTAGCATGCCACTGCACTCCAGCCTGGGTGACGGAGTGAGACTCCAACTCAGAAAAAAAAATAAAAAGGCTGGATGAGGTGGCTCACACCTATAATCTCAGCACTTTGGGGGACCTGAGGTGAGGATTTCCTGAGCTCACGGGTTTGAGACCAGCCTGGGCAACTTTGTGAGACCTCATCTCTACAATAAATAAAAAACTAGCCAAGTGTGGTGGCATATGCCTGTAGTTTCAGCTACTTGGAAGGCTGAGGTGGAAGGATCCCCTGAGCCCAGTGGGTCGAGGCTGCGGTGGCCTTAAGCATGCCACTGCGCTCCAACCTGGGTGACAGAGTGAGACTCCAACTCAAAACAAAACAAAACAAAATTTATATTCCTCTAGGAACTAGAAGACTGGATAATGTAAGGATAAGAATGTTGCTTGGTATTTTGTAGTTTAAAAAGTACTTTCTAGCCAGGTACTGTGGCTCACACCTGTAATTCTAAAACTTTTCGAGGATAAGGTGGGAGGATTGCTTGAGCCCAGGAATTTGAGACCAGCCTAGACAACATAGCGAGATCTCTTCTCTGCAAAAAAAAAATAATAATAATTAGCCAGAAATAGCTGTGGGTGCCTGCAGTCCCAGCTACTCCAGATGCTGAGATGGAAGGATTGCCTGAGCTCAGGAGGTGGAGGCTGCAGTGAATGACGATCATGCTACTGTCCTCCAGCCTGGGTGACGGAGTGAGATCCCACCTCAAAAATTTAAGAAAGAACTTTACAGTTGGAATCTTACTCTGTCAACCAGGCTGGAGGGCAGTGGCATGTTCCTGGCCACTGCAGCCTTGAATTGCTGGGCTCAGACGATCCTTCTGCCTCAGCCTTCCAAGTAGCTGGAACTACAGGCACGCACCACCATGCCTGGAATTTTTTGATTTATTGTAGAGATGAAGTCTCGTCAAGTTGCCCAGGCTGGTCTCGAACCTGTGGGCTCAGGCAATCCTCTCACCTTGGCCTCCCACAGTGCTGGGATTATAGGCATGAGCCACCGCGCCTGACCTTACAGTTTCTGTTCTATTAGTGAGCTAACCTGGTTTTGCTGAACTTAATTTGAATACTCTAAAGAAGCAGAATGTAGCTGGGTGCAGTGGCTCACGCCTGTAATCCCAGCACTTTGGGAGGTGGAGGCGAGAGGATTGCCTGAGCTGTGGGGTTTGAGATAAAACTGACCACCATGGTGAGACCTCATCTCTACAATAAATCATAAAATTTGCCAGGCATGGTGGCACATGCTTGTGTTTCCAGCTACTTGAAAGTCTGAGGTGGAAGCATTGCCTGAGCCCAGCAGGTCGAGGCTGCAGTGGCTGTGAGAGTGCCACTGCACTCCAGCCTGTGTAACAGAGTAAGACTCTAACTCAAAAAAAAAAAAAAAAAAAAGAAGCATAATGTTTTAGGCTCTGCTTCCAATATCTCATAGACAATTTTAATTGCGTGCAAGGACATTTAACCCTGGATGTTCAGTATTATGCCAAGCACTATAAATCTAAAGAACTCGCTTCTGTTCAGAACTAAAATAACTCCTGTGTGTTTCTCTCATTTTAAAAGTCTGCCAGTTGAAGCATTTGAAGGTAAAGGGATAACTGATGAGTTTACGAAATAAGGAATTAGGGTGCTTATCTCTCTCTATGGGGATAGAAATTGGTAGAATGACAAGTATCTGGAACTGGGAATGTTATTTGAAGGGGAGCCTTTGTTGTTTTTTTTTGAGTTGGTGTCTAGGCGAGAGGCCTAGGCGAGAGGATTGCCTGAGCCCAGGGGTTTGAGACTAGCCTGGGTAAATTGGCAAGACCTTGTCTTTACAATAAAAAAAAAAAAAAAAAAAAAAAAAAGCCGGGCGTTGTAGTGCTCGCCTGTAGTTCCTAGTTCCAGCTACTTGGAAGGCTGAGGTGGAAGGATCGCTGGAGCCCAGCAGGTCGAGGCTACAGTGGCTGGGAGACTGCACTCCAGTCTGGGTGACTGAGTGAGACTCCAACTCAAACAAACAAAAAACAAACAAAAAAGAAAGTGGTTGTGAAGTTGATGTCCAAGGGCTCTAAGGCAGAGAAGTGCATTAGAGTCAGAGTGTGAATCCATTGTGATACTTTTATTTATTTATTTATTTATTTATTTTTGAGTTGGAGTCTCACTGTTGCCCAGACTGGGGTGCAGTAGCCACTCCCAGCCACCGCAGCCTCGACCCGCTGGGCTCCAGTGATCCTTCCGCCTCAGCCTTCCAAGTAGCTGGAACTACAGGTGCGCGCTACCACGCCTGGCTGATTTTTTTGATTTATTGTAGAGATGAGGTCTCGCCTGCCCAGGCGGGTCTCGAACCCGCGGGCTCAGGCAATTTACTCACCTCAGCCTCCCAAAGGCGCGGGATTACAGGCTGAGCCACCGAGCCCAGCTCATTGTTATACTTTTAAGCTCAGAGCTTTATTCTGAGGGTCACAGGAAGGTATTTTTTTATTGAGTAGAGGCATGCTTAGGTTCTTTTTTTTTTTTTAAGATAGGCTCTAGTGGGTAAAGACTGAGAGCCCAATTTAAAGGAATTAAGAAGTGACTTCGTTTTCAGTACCATTTCCTTTTCACAGCAGAACTTCTTGAAAGAGTTATAGACATACAGTCACAGTCTGCTTCCTGGCATCCCAGCAGCATTTCTACCCTGCCTTCACCACTGAAACTGCTCAAGGTCACCAATGACTTCCATGTTCTCATATCCAGCCAATGCTTTCCTGATCTCATCCTGCCTTTGGTCTTATCTTGCTTGACTTCTTGACCAAATCCTAGGTATTTGATCATTTCCATCTTTTTTTTTAATTTGAGTTGGAGTCTCACTCTGTCGCTCAAACTGGAGTGCAGTGGCTGCTCCCGGCCACCGCAGCCTCTCCTGCTGGGCTTCAGCTATCCTTCCGCCTCAGCCTTCCAAGTAGCTGGAACTACAGGCGTGCGCTACCATGCCCGGCTAATTTTTTGATTTATTGTAGAGATGAGGTCTCGCCAAGTTGCCCAGGTGGGTCTTGAACCCGTGGGCCATTTTCATATTTTAAATTAAGTAATTAATTAATTCTAAAAATCCAAAGTTGTTTTTATATTCCCATCTTAATACAGCCTCCTCTTGGCTTCTAGGACCCACCACGGTTCAGTTGGTGTCTCACTGGCTTGCTTTCTCCGTCATCTTGGCCAGCTCTTCATCTCATCCTCAAACTTTAGAATGTTGGAGTATCCAGAAATCAGTATCTACTTTTCCTTCTCTAATCAACCTTGGAAGCATATTAGAATCACCTGTGGATTTTCTTTATAGAAGTATTCCACAGTGGGCGTGATGGCTCATATAATCCCAGCACACTGGGAGGCTGAGGTGAGAGGATTGACTGAGCCCACGGGTTCAAGACCAGCTTGGGCAACTTGGCAAGACCTCGTGTCTACAATAAATCAAGAAAAATTAGCTGAAAATGAGGGCTCATGCCTGTAGTTCCAGCTACTTGGAAGGCTATGGTGGAGGGATCACCTGAGCCCAGCAATTGGAGACTGCGGTGGCTATGAGCGTGCCACTGCACTCTAGCCTGGGTGACAGAGTGAGACTCTGACTCAAAAAAAAACAAAAAACAAAAATTCCAACTGATACATGAGGAAAGAATGATAGAATGTCAATATTTTGTAACCACTAATGAAATAAAGGTTCTAGTCAGTGATCATGAATGACTGCTAAAACTATGAGGTGAAAAACCGATAGGGAACTTTTTAGTGGGTAGATTAGGCTGACAGCACCTGAATCTGTTGATCAATCTTAACTTCACAAAAAGAGATGGCCAGGCATAACAGTAAGTCCTTACTTAATGTTGTCCACTGGTTCTTGGAAACTTTGACTTTATACGAAATGATGTTAACAAAACCAATTTTACTGAGGCTATTTGATATAAACAAAAGTTAAAGTTTCTCGTTGGGTGTGGTGGCTCACACCTGGAATCCCAGCACTTTGGGAGGCAGAGGCAAGAGGGCCTGAGCCCAGGGGCAACTTGGTGAGACCTTGTCTCTACAGTAAATCAAAAAATTGGCATCACTCTTTTCTGTCTTGACAGATGGCACAACCATACATCCAGCTACCAGTGGTCAATAAATAGTTCTTCTGATAAAAAGAATGCTTTTCTAGCTAATCCAGAAAAGATCTCTTGTATGACTCATGATTATCAACCATAATAAATATACAATATTCTCTAAAATATGAGAACTGTTTCCATTTATTCTTTAGCTCTCACCCCTCTAACAGTCTAACATTTTGAGCCAATGATTGAGTTTGAATGATACTAAGTCCTTTTTCAGATTTTTGTACCAAAACATTTGGAGGAGTTGGGATGAAGAAGAGGAAGATGAATATGATTATTTTGTCAGATGTGTTGAACCTCGATTGAGATTGTAAGTATTACCTTGTACATGTTGGAAAAATATTCATAGTTTAATTTTACCTATGTGAGATACATATAAATTCATATATATGTGTGTGTGTGCCTATACAATAAATAAATAAATAAATATTTGCTTTACTCTAAGTTTCTGTGATAACATATACTAGGCTAAACTAACAGACTTATCTCAGTATACTCTAGATAACAGACTTATCTTTTCACCTCTAGCCTTAAATCTTATTTGACAAATAGGTGAAAATACCAGATAGTTACTATTGGTGGTCAATAAACATTTCCAAAATATACATTTTTCTAATTTATCATCTTTTGTCAGGGGAAAACCCTTCTATACAAAAGTACCAAAATTAACCATGCAACCCAAATACAAGTAGTTGTTCTAAAGGCCTTTGTCTTTCCACTAGTTGGGACCCTAAGACTAGTGGTTTTTTTTCCCCTATATTCATGAGCATCTGTATTTTTAAAAGCTCCCTAGGTGATTTTAATATTTAACCAGAATTGAGAAGGTCTGACCTAAGGCATAGCTAGTCAATATACTTTTAACTAAGAACTAACGCACTTACTTTAAAACTATAGGTAATGACAATAATATTGTACTGTATTTTCAAATCCATTAATTTATATTCATTAACTTGATTGTACTTTCGTAAACTATTGCATCTGGAAATACTTTTTGTTCATTTTTATACTTAGGGAAGTATATAAATTATTAAAGTACTAGTAAGGTTGTCTGGTACAAGCTTATTTTGTTTTGATCACTCTTAAATTTAGAAATGACAGTTTTATTCCCCCCCCCCAGACTCTCAGAGGCTTATTTTTCGTAGTTCTCTAACAATCTTTTGAAGTTCTCTAACAATCAGCATAATTTCGTGGCACAGTGCTTTTTTTTTTGAGTCGGGGTTTCACCCTGTCACCCAGGCAGTGGCACAATCACAGCTCACTGCATCCTTGACTTCCTGGACTCAGGTGATCCTTCTACCGAGTAGCTGGGACTATAGGTACACACCACTATGCATGGCTAACTTTTAAATTTTTTGTAAAGATGAGGTCTCACTGTGTTGCCCAGGATGTACTTCTCCCACCTTGGCCTCTCAAAGTGTTAGGATTACAGACGTGAGCCACCACGCCTGGCCCTTAGTGCTTTAGATGCAAGGAAGTACTAGATTACTTGAATCATTTAAAATTTTTGATTCTATAAATATGGTAATTTTTTTTTTTTTAAAAAAACTTAAGCTGGGTACAGTGGCTCATGCCTGTAATCCCAGCACTTTGAGAGGTGCAGGCGGGAGAATTGCCTGAGCCCATGGGTTCGAGACCAGCCTGGGCAACTTGACGAGACCTTGTCTTTACAGTAAATCAAAAAATTAGCCAGGCATGGTAGTGCACACCTGTAGTTCCAGCTACTTAGAAGGCTGAGGCGGAAGGATCACCTGAGCCCAATGATTCGAGGCTGTGGTGGCCGTGAGCGTGCCACTGTACTTCAGCCTTGGCAAAAACAGTGAGACACCGACTCAAAGAAAAAAAAAATTTACCATTTTTTTCAGGGATCTGAATGTCACAAACTATTTCTAGTTGTCCTGGCTAGTCTTGAACTGGTGAGCTCAGGCAATCCTCTCACCTCAGTCTCCCAAAGTGCTGGGATTATAGGGGTGAGCCACTGTGTGTGGCCAAAATATGGTAATCTTAAACATTTGAAGCAATTTGAGATGCTTCCCTTCCTATTTCCACTCCCAAATTATCCCCTGCCACCCATTTCTTATGATTTTGAATCTAGTATATGAGAAAAAGTAATTTCTTAAGAGATAATGATTATAAATTATGCAACATGAATTTATAGTGTTTCTAAACCACAAATGCCTGAATCTAAGAATAGTAACCAAATTCTAAAGAAAAATGAGTGACCTTAGTGATGTGATCCTTTAAACTTTCAACATCTTCCACTTATAGTAGGGTGTTATTCAGAAAGACTTTAACATGCACCTGAGTTATATACTATACAACACTTTTCTTACTGGGTCTTTGAGGATTAAACGGGCTGTCTTAATGATAGGAAAATGTGCCTAAATGGACTTCAAGCAATGAATTTGAATATCCTTTAAACTTTCAGACATTATGATATCCTTGAAGACCGAGTTCCTTCAGGACTTATTGTTGACTACCGCAATCTGTTGTCTCAATGTGAGGAGAGTTACAGAAAATTTTTAAATCTGAGAAGCAGTTTGTCAAATTGTAGCTCTGATTCTGAGCAGGAAAATATCTCCATGGTGGAAGGGTTGAAATTGTATTCGGAGATTGAACAGTTGAAACAAAAGCTAAAACTCATTGAGAATCCTTTGTTGAGGTATGTGTCTTTGTTATTCTTATCTATTTAGCATCTTATTAGCTCTCGTACTGAGAACTGACAGGTCTGTTTGATTTCTATAAGGTACGTGTTTGGTTATCAGAAGAATTCTAATATCCAAGCAAAGGGCATCCGTCCAAGTGGTCAGAAGGTTACCCATGTAGTCTCCTCCACCATGATGACTGGTCTACTGCGGTCCCTGCTCACTGACAGGCTTTGCCAGAAGCCTTGTGAAGAAGAAATAGAAATTCAGGTAAACGGAGAGTTTCTTGCTCCAGGTGGCTTTCTTTTTCTTCTTCTTTAGATTCAGCCCAGGTTTTCTGTGTTTTTGTTTTGCTTTGTTTTCTTTTCTTTTTGTTTTTGTTTTTTTGTGTGTGTGTTGGGAGTCTTATTCTGTCACCTAGGCTGGGGTACAATGGCACGCTCATGGCCACTGCAGCCTCGACCTGCTGGGCTCAGATTATCCTTCAGCCTCTGCCTTCCAAATAGCTGGAACTACAGGCATGCGCTACCACACCTGGCTAATTTTTTTTTTTAGTTGTGGAGATGAGGTCTCACCAAGTTGCCCAGGCTGGTCTCGAACCGTGGGCTCAGGCAATCCTCTCACTTTAGCCTATCAAAGTGCTGGGATTATAGGTATGATTCACCACACCAGACTATTTTTTTTTAAGTCAGAGTCTCACTCTGTCACTCAGACTGGAGTGCAATGGCACGCTCACGGCCACCGCAGCCTTGACCTGCTGGGCTCAGGTGATCCTTCCACCTCAGCCTTCCAAGTAGCTGGAACCACGGGTTTGTGCTACCACACCCAGCTAATTTTTGATTTATTGTAGAGACGAGGTCTCACCAAGTTGCTCAGCTGATCTCGAGCTCCTGGTCTCAGGCAATCCTCTCTCCTCTGCCTCCCAAAATGTTGGGATTACAGGCGTGAGCCACCGTGCTTGGCCTCATCCCAGGTTTTCATGAGTTCTACAAAGTGTTTACAGGAACATCCTAGGGACTGTTTTCAGTGATTTGGGGCATGGTGAGAGCCCTGCCTTTCATTAGCAGAAGTCACTTGCCAAGCATGCACTGGGCTTAGTGTAGTATCAAAGAAGATACTTCAATATGCAGTTTGGGCTCTGTTTTCAGAATAAGGCATGAAGGCAACTGGAACAATACTCAAGTTGCTTTTAGTGGGGAGGGTGTATATTTGCAAATATATTGTTGTTGTTTTCTAGTTCCATAGTGATCCATTGTCTGCTATAAATGCCTGCTATGAAGGCGACACTGTTATTGTTTGTCCTGGCCATTATGTGGTACATGGCACATTCTCCATAGCTGACTCCATTGAGTTGGAAGGTGAGTATGGAAGGGCAGACAAGCAAACTGTCATGCATGATATGTTTAAGTAAATAGGAAATCACTAATCCTGTTGAAGCTTCAAGAATTCTGTGATTTCAAATCATTTGATTTCTAATTGGTTGCCTTGAAACATTAAGGATATTCAAAGTTTAAAGGAGATTGACCCAGTGTTTGAGTAAGTTGAAGTGTGGTTTTTTTAAGCAGTATGTGTTGAGAAGATGTTTGAAGGCTTATATAGAAAAAAGATCATCAGGAAGTAGCATCTTTTCCAAATTGTAAGTGGTTTATGGAAAAGAAATCTAATTTCTACAATTAATTTTTAATCTTATTTTAGTTTTAGTTTTTTTTATTTTTTTGAGTAGGAGTTTCACTCTGTTGCCCAGGCTAGAGTGCAGTGGCACGCTCACGGCCATTTCAGCCGTGACCTGCTGGGCTCAGGCGATCCTTCCACCTCAGCCTTCTAAGTAGCTAGAACTATAGATGTGCAATACCACGCCTGGGTAATTTTTCTTGATTTATTGTAGAGACGAGGTCTCAGCAAGTTTCCCAGACTGGTCTTGAACCACTGGGCTCAGGCATTCCTCTCACCTCTGCCTCCCAAATTGCTGGGTGGGATTATAGGCATGAGCCACCACATCAGCCTTAATTTTATTTTTAGAGACAGATCTCACTCTGTCACCCAGGCTGGAGTGTGGTGGCATGATCATAGCTCACTGCTTGACATCCTGGGCTCAAGCATCCTCCCACTTCAGCCTCTAGGGTAACTGGGACTACAGGAATACAACACCATACCAGGCTAATTTCTACAATTAAAGAAAAAAAATTAGCCAGGTGCAGTGGCTCACGCCTATAGTCCCAGCACTTTGGGAGGCAGAGGCGAGAGGATTGCTTGAGCCCATGGGTTCGAGATCAGCCTGGGCAACTTGTCGAGGCCTCATCTCTACAATAAATCAATAAAAATTAGCTGGGCATGGTGGTGCACGCCTGTCGTTCCAGCTACTTGGAAGGTTGAGGCAGGATCATCTGAGCCTAGCAGGTCGAGGCTGCAGTGGTCATGAGCGTGCCACTGCACTCCAGCCTGGGTGACAGAGTGAGACTTACTCAAAAAACAAAAACAAAATTTTCTCAGCAATATTTTAAAAAATTATAGTATTTAAAAAATTTGTTGCTTGCTTTTATAGATGTTGTGGCTATCTTAGTACATGTTTTTATTGTTAAAATACAGTTTATTTTTGTGAAAGTTAGAATAAAGGGCCTTTAAATGGATGCCAGAAAGTTATTTTGCCTCTTTAAAAGCTTGCTTTTACCACTTTACCAAAGTATACTTTTGAAAACATTAATGCTGAATGATTCTGTGTAACATAACTTTTTAGCAATTATAATCTTATTGTTTATTTAGAGTAATTCCTAAAATTAGGCTACTTCATAATTGTTCAACTTGGTTCTGTGTATTTAGAAACACCTGTCAACTATTTACCACAACAGCTTTAGTTAGCAATGAAGCTTGTAATGCAAAAAGTCATATATCATTTTGGGACTTGTGCAGCTATTCACAAACTGCTTAAGCTGTGCTCTTTATCTTATCACAACTTCCTTTATTTTTGAATCGGAGTCTCATTCTGTCTCCCAGACTGGAGTGCAGTGGCACACTCACAGCCACCACAGCCTCAACCTGCTGGGCTCAGGTGATCCTTCTGCTTCAGCCTTCTAAGCAGCTGGAACTATAGGCATGCACCACCACGCCTGGCTAGCTTTTTGGTTTATTGTACAGACAAGGTCTTACCATGTTGCCCAGGTTGGTCTCGAACCTGTGGGCTCAGGCAATTCTCTCACCTCAACCTCCCAAAATGCTTGGATTATAGGTGTGAGTCACCGTGCCCAGCCAAAAATGACTTTAAATTTACTAATAGAGGGCACTTCTGAGAACTGGGGAATCAGATGTATCTCTAGTGTGAATATATGGAGTATTTGCTCATGAGTAAGATTAGTGTTTATCTGATAGTGATCTATATCTAACACATAAAAAGATATATATTGAGGACTTACTATGTATAGAGTACTAGCAGTACTTACAGAAGGGACTTTCTTGTTTAGAAAATCCTTAGGTGACGGTTTTGTGTTTAAATGGATAGGAGTATATAAGTTGTGTAAAAATCTCAATTTTTTCCTCACTATACAATTCTTATTATATTTTAATTTTTCTGATAAAAAGGTGGTTATTGTAGAAAATATGCAAAGTATAGGCAGACATACAAAGAATTAGAAATAAAATTACTTCAGTCATCCATAGTCCACCCCTGGTAGCCTTCCAGTGCACAGAGTTCTCGTGCATTCATTCTTCCATGCCCCTGAAGCCTCGTCTGTACTCTTTTTTTTTTCTTGAGTTGGAGTCTCACTCTGTTACCTTGACTGGAGTGCAGTGGCACGCTTAAGGCCACCGCAGCCTCGACCTGCTGGGCTCAGAAGATCCTTCCACCTCAGCTTTCCACGTAGCTGATACTATAGGCTCGTGCTACCATGCCTGGCTGATTTTTTGATTTATTGTAGAGATGAGGTCTTGCCATGTTGACCAGGCTGGTTTTGAATCCTTGGGTTTAGGGAATCCTCTTGCCTCTGCCTCCCAAAGTGCTGGGATTACGGATGTGAGCCACCACACCTGGCCTGTCTGTACTCTTTAAATATAGATAAGTTCAATGTCTTTGCTTGTTTAATGCAGTTACTGCTTTCACTTACTTAAAGAAAGACTCATCTTTAGACAATGAAAGTTATTTCTTATGTATAGCTTTGTCTATGTGGTTCTGTTTTACAAGGAAAGTCAAGTGAGTGCTTTAGTTTTTGATAACTCCAATTTTTTGTAAACCCACTCAGCTTGGCTGCATTATTGGTTTAAGATTTATAGAGATTATCTTATTGCTTGTTTCTTTTTGACTTACTGCAGAGACGAGGTCTTGCCTTGTTGCCCAGGCTGGTCTTGAATTCCTGAGTTCAGGCAATCCTTTCCCCTTAGCCTTGCAAAGTAAAGTGCTGGTATTACAGACATTAGCCACTGTCCCAGCCTTCAATGGTTTTTCTTGGTTAATGAGGTAGACTGTTTTTTCCAATAACAAAAACTATTTTGAGTCAGTTTATCAGATTTTAAGTCAATCTCCTTATTTTTTGTTTGTTTGTTTTGAGTTGGAGTCTCATTCTGGACTCAGACAATCCTCCAAGTAGCTGGAACTACAGGCATGTGTCACCACACCTGACTAGTTTTTTGATTTACTGTAGAGATGAATTTTCACCAAGTTGTCCAGGTTGGTCTTGAACCCGTGGGCTGAGGCAATCCTCTCACTTCAACCTCCCAAAGTGCTGGGATTATAGATGTGAGGCACCGTGCCCGACAGTCTGTTTAAAAGAATATTAAAATTAGATAATCTTGAGAACTGCTTAGGTTTATTCAAATTTAATTTATATTAGAATCATAGAATCTTAGAGTTAAAAAAAACTTTTTTTTTTTTGAGTTGGAGTCTCACTCCGTCGCCCAGACTGGTATGCAGTGGCATGCTCCCAGCCACCGCAGCCTCGACACACTGGGCTCTGGCGATCCTTCTGCCTCAGCCTTCCGAGTAGCCGGAATTACAGACGCGCACTACCACGCCCGGCTAATTTTTTGATTTTTATTGTAGAGATGAGGTCTCGCCTGGCCAGGCGGGTCTCGAACCCGTGGGCTCAGGCA